ATAATAAAATTATTGGAACTATAAAATGTAAACTATTGCAATATTTCTCCTTTTTTTATGGATCAACTATTGTAATATTAAGTCACGTAATCATTAAATCATGTAATTATTACATTGCTCATTATTACTTCGATTTAATAATGTGTTATATATAATAAATATAATATTAATCTACGTCCCGCAACGCGGAGTCCGTTGAGTTGTTACTTGAAATTTCAAGGTCCAAATAGGATCAAAGTGTACCCATTTCTGTATTGGGCCTGGGCCGCTTTTGTTTTATCTTGGTTTTTTATTTTTTATTTTTATTATTATTTTTTTTTTCAGATACTTCATCACAATACCTTTTTTTTTTTTGGGTACACAGGGCAGGGCCGGGCCGGGCCGTCACCTTACACATTTTTATTCCCTCATTCTTTCCCCATTTAGTCTTTTACTTAGTTATTTATTTATATTTTACAGATTTTCTTTTTGGTTTCCTCCAATTGGCTGGTGGTTAAAACCGGTATTTAATTTTGATTTTTTATTCTTTCATTTTGCCAATTTACTTCAATTGTTTTTATTTTCCATTAGACCCACTTTTTACAACCATTTAATTCTTATTCTTCTTCTTCTTCTTTTTTGTGTTCCACTCTCTTTTACTCTATTTATGCATGATAATAAGTTTGGTTTGAGGAAAATGAAAGGAAGATAAATGGAAAAATGTCATAACTTTTTATTTCTGTTCCATCTTCTTATTTAGATAAATAAATTTTTTTTTAAAATAATGTAAGTAATTCCTCTCTCCTTCGGCCTCCCCTCCCTTCCATTTTTTTTTAACTAAATAGAAATTTTTTTTTTTCCTTCACTTACCTTAAAGCAAACATAGGAGCTTGTTGTGTTTAGATAATAGGAAGAAAATAAGTATCTATAAGGAAACAAAAAACTAAACGAAAAATATATATACCAGAGGTCATTGCCCTAGTTGAGAGAAAAGAGATAAATAAAGATGTAAACTTTAGATTTTTTTTTATTTAAGGATATTCACCTTGTCGATTTTTAAATAAGGATATTAATTTTTAATTTTTTATTTAAAGATATTAACTTTCATTTGTTTCTATTTAAAGATACCAACTTGTAATTTTTTTTATTTAAAGATTAATTGAATGATAATGCTAACATAACAAGTGGATTTTTTTAACTAGAATGTTGAAAGTTGGCATTTTTAAATAGGAAAAATTGAAAATTGATATTCTTAAATAGAAAAAGTTGAAAATTGACATTTTTAAATAGAAAAAGTTAAAAATTGATATCTTTATTTAGAAAATAACAAAATTAACATTCTTAAATAGAAAAAAAAAAATCAAAATTCAAATCCTTATTTTCACCATTTCTCCCCTCGTTGACCAAATTGGCAACTGGGTTAATTTGCTCCAATAGCATGCCCCTAACTGATAATGCTGCTGATTCGGCAATTTCATTGGATCTCCTATTAAGATAAGAATAAAGTTTTAACAAAGGAAAATGATTTAATGATAATTTATTAATACGATTTCTTATGTTATTTAATTATTGATTTTTTTTTACTTTTTTTTATATAAATTTGTGATATTGTAAATTAATGAGTGTAGGAGCATACGAGACAATTAACTATTCCTAAAAATAAATTCTTTTTCTCTTTCTTTCTTATAATAATTGTTATTTTTTTTATTTTTTCTCTAGTTTAAGGATTTATGAATTATTTATGTATTTACTTATATTAGTTTTAGAAAAAAAACTAAAAGATAAAGTAAGACTTTTTATAATGGAATAATTAATCAAAATAAATAGATAAGATAAAGTTAAAATGGGAAAAAAAATAGGCTAAAACGAACATTTAGCCCCTCACCTTACAAAATTGGTAAGTCTTAGCCCCTAATCTTATAATATGACAGTTGTAGCCCTTTATCTTATAAAGTTGGTAGGTTTTAACCCCCCACATTATAAAGTTGGTGAGTTTAGCCCCTCACCTTATATTGTGTCATTTTTAACCCCTTATCTGTACGAATCGAAAAAAATAGCCCCTATTTAACATCAGATTTTAACATTCTATTAGTTCTGCTAGCTAACTGACTGTCAATTTTATTAACCGATTGCTAATTCTGTTAGTTGATTGTTAGCATCTGTTAGAATTCCGTTAATGAAACTAACAATAAAGTTGAATTTAAATTTCATATTTTTTATAACGGAATGCTAACAGATATTAACAATCAACTGATATAACTAACAGAACTTTATAACCTGATGTTAGGTGAGGGTTATTTTCTTTAATTTATATCGATGATGGGTTAAAAATATCATAATATAAGATAAAGGGTTAAAACCTATCAACTTTGTAAGATAAATGGCTAAAACTGTCTTATTATAAGATGAGAGGCTAAAACCTACTAACTTTGTAAGGTGAGGGGTTAAATTTTGGTTTTTACCAAAAAAATATTTATCTACCTTAAAAAGTAAAGAAATGATAATTAATTTAGAACAAATTTAAAGTTAAAAGACAACAG